AAGTAGTAAAGGCTGGCAGTGCAGAGTGGGGGAACCGTTTGGGCAGTTGGATAAATGTATCTAATACTTAAATGCTATGAGAAGGGAATGAATCAGGTCTATGACTAGGAAATGGTGAAGGACGTAGTAAGGCTTGCAGTGCAGAGTGTGGGAACTGTCTTTGGCGATTACAGTGTATCTGCAATCCTAAAATGCTATGGGAAGAGAGGGAAACAGATCCAGACGTAGAGGGTGGTGAAGAAAGTAGTAGAGGTGAGCAGTGTTGAGTGTGGGAATGGATTAATGTATCTACAATGCTAAAATGCTATGGGAAGAGGCTGTACACTGTAGGTTAAAATGATTACGAAGCAGCACGAGTCGATACATATTTCGATACATGCAATCGTTTACAATAGAAATTTTGAAATTTAATTTACAACTGAGTTGACAACAGCTGATTTTTACTCCATAGAGGCTAAAAACGATTTTTCTTCCTAAAGAGTAAAAATACTACTTTGGACCCGCAACGCATGCATTAAAAACGACTGTTTTTACTGCAGTATGACAAAAACAATATAATATGAACCCTTGATGACTCCGCTCAATTTTGTGGATGCCTCTGCGAACGCCACCTAGTAATTAACTCATCAATACACAGATAAACTTTTTAGTTATAAATGATGTGTTATTTTATGTTGTTTTTTTTAGGTTGTATGTTATTTGCTTATACCAATACCACCATCCCGGATGTTAGTGTTTTATTAATAAATAAACTGGTTTTAGCGAGCGACAATCTCATTGTTGCAGTTGCTATAAGCATAGATAAAACATACTCCCTTAGTAGATTTCTCATCCTTATGGAACAGCTGAAGACAATTTTATTGTTAGTTCTGTACGGTTTATGTAGAGGTCGTGTTTTGTTTACAATTTGTTTCCCGTTATTACAGCCATTTAAAACCTCGTTTAACCAAATAATACGATCTAATCATAAACAATAACTCGTCCCCTAGTTATATAACCAAACAGTAAAGCACAAATCAAGAAATTAACCCTAAAATAATAGAAACAAAGTTTTGTCGACACTTGCGCCCATGTGTCACGTACATGAACTAGACACGAAAAACGTGCTTCAAAATTTACAATGGGATGAGAAGTCTACTTTGTAGTTGGTTAGTCTATGCTATAAGCCACTAGCATCCGGCAATGCATTTATGAAAGTTATTGGTTTATTCCAGTCATTCAAGTACACAGCTAAAGCAGAAACCAATTGAATAATAATGGGTGAGTATGTTTAATCAGTGGATGGCTAAAGCTTCTTATTGCGACCATCTACAGTTTTCGAACGGCAATGACGTACTTTACACTCATCTACACTCAAGTCACAAATATTCCCTTGCTATTCACAATATCAGTTATCCAGTTCTCCATTTCCCCCTCTACGCGTGTTAGTGTTTTTTTCATTGTTTAAATAAGCTGCTTTTACTGTTACGACATACATATAAACAGAAAAATAGGCATTAGCTAGTTTTCTGGTTATTGTTATAGTCAATGATGGGTTTACTTATAATTTTTACGTTATTATGTATAGGTTTGTTATAACCAATTTAACTTTTATTATTTTTTTTATATAAAAATGTTGATTGAGAAATAAAATAGAGTTTTATCTTACTTAGGTCTATTATATTCTGGAGGTGTGTATTTTTGCGTTCGATATGAAAAGCAGGGCCGGGGAGAGCCGTCACGGGCCCATGGGCTGAGCGTTCCCGCGCCCCTATTTTCCTGATTTGTCTAGCCGCCTCCGTGCTGTTTTTTTTATACAAATAACAATACATTATCTAGTTGGTCTTGAGAGCAACATAACATAACAATGCATGATGGTTTGGTTAATTCTCGTGCTCACCGTTGCAACTTTATTCAAGTCTAGAATTGAATTAAACAATTCATGTCAAAAATTACTTAGTGAACTGGTTCTCCAAACCATACTAAAACTTTTGACTAATTACTAAATATTTTAAATTTGTCCGGGCCGGGCCCCCTTCAGAGCCCCGGCCCCCCTGCCACACCCTCTAACCAGCCCTGGTGAAAATTATCGTTCATAACTTGCCATTAAGCACAGTTTTCCTCTCTTCGTCACTTAACTTAATTTTCCCCGTTCCTTTTAACTTCCTTTCCCCGAGATAGTCCCGATAAACGCGAAAAAGATTTTTACTGCAGTGCAGCAGATTCACAATGATGATCATTCACTCAGTCACTCAATATAGTATAACTCGATATTTCAATCCGATCGAGACTAAACAGGGGCTACTCGAGCTAAAACTCAGACCAGCCGACAGTTCAGTTCCCTTACCACTTTAACGTATTTATTTAAAAAAAAATTATCGCACAAAATATAAACCCAACGGTAAATTTACTTTATTGCAGTAACCTAAATTGAGTAAAATCTCGAAATGAAAAAAGTAGGCCTATATTCAGGAATTAATTCCCTAACATTATTTATACCTGGTGACAGTTAGTTGTGGTTAGGCCTAAATTAAAAAACGTAGTTACTAAAAGTGCCTCTACAGCTAACAAGAGCGCTGCTGCTGTGTCAGCTCAGCAATAAACTGTTCACGTTCACGTCACGTCAAAGTTACTTTTAAACGGGTACTGACTGACTGTAACGGGTACGGCTACCATTACACACACTTTTCCAATTCCTAACTCCCTAGGTAGATATTAGAAGTACCCAGGTACTTTTGTAACGGGTATTTAAGATTTTGAGTAACCGTTACTCTCCGTAAAAGCCAGTACCCGTTACAGTTACTTGGACACCTTGGACACATCTCTAGTTCAGTTCAGTTCGCATTCATCGGCTGTTCAGTTCAGTAGTGATGTGCGATACGGGTCAGTGATCGATACGTATCGGAACGTGGTGTATCGATACATGTATCGTATCGTATCCTCATGTATCGACTTTTATCTGTATCGGATAAAATATCGTATCGTATTGTTTATTTGTATTTTTTTTTAAATTTAAATATCTCAAATATACAAGCTGCATAGACAAATACCATGTTACTTACAAGCTTGTAAAGCGGTTTGGAGAGCACAAGTTCACATGTACAGAAACCTTATACTGACGTCATAAATATCGAATGTATATATCGATTGTACCGGGTGGTTACGGGTTTTTCTTCGGAATGTAAGTATCGGTTGCACCGAATAAGTAAAGGGTTTTTTTTGTAACACTTTATTTGACGAATTGAATACTCTCGGTAGTTTATCCATTATAAATCAAATAGTAGAAATACAATAATATTCGTTACAGGCTGGGAATAAAATAATTACTGAATATACTTTGGATTGAACATCCAAGATGTTTGCAATTGTTTTCGTATTTACCTGACTTATGTTACCTGACTGAATGTTTAGTTGAATAATATAGAATGTGGTACGATCAAAAAGTAATAAACTATCCTATAAATTAATCGGATTACTACTACTTAATGTTTCCTTATTTATATTATGTCCCAGTACTTTCATTTATAAATAGCAAGATAAGGCTTAGTAAGTATAACGTTATTGTGAATTAAATGGAGCCAGAATAATATAATTGGGTAAAACTTATGGTGTTTTATTAAGATGTACTAAAGGGGAAAATGAGAAAAAAGCTCTACTTTTTTCTGTAAACCTACACCATTGATTAATGTACTCACAGTACTTAGTCAATGGTTAAACTGTAGGGCCTATTTTACGTGACTGTAAATTCCATAAAATAATATATTATTTTATGGAATTTAAGAGGACTGTCCCAAGAGGACTGTTTTAGATATATATATCTAAAACAGTCCTCTTGGGCTTCTTAAATTGTCACCTTACACTGATGGGCAATATCTGTTAGTAAATCATTCCCAAACATTAACATAACGTTAACATGTCAAAGTTACAATTATTATTTCACTCTCTTCTAGAATCGATAATAATTCCTGTAATTCGTCTACTGTACTTTAATTATTACAGTTATTGTATTATTGTGGATGCTATGAAATAAATTCTTAGTATTCAACGTCCTGTGAACTCAAGTTTTTATTTTATAAGTCAGGTAAATACGAAAACAATTGCAAACATCTTGGATGTTCAATCCAAAGTATCAGTAATTATTTTATTCCCAGCCTGTAACGAATATTATTGTATTTCTACTATTTGATTTATAATGGATAAACTACCGAGAGTATTCAATTCGTCAAATAAAGTGTTACAAAAAAACCCCTTTACTTATTCGGTGCAACCGATACTTACATTCCGAAGAAAAACCCGCAACCACCCGGTACAATCGATATACAGTATACATTCGATATTTATGACGTCAGTATAAGGTTTCTGTACATGTGAACTTGTGCTCTCCAAGAGGTTTAGTGCTTGTAATCTTACCTCAGAAAAGCCGTTTCCTACCTGTGTCTTTTTTTTGTATCAAACATACATACATAACCTCCAAATTCCGGTAAACCCTCAAAATTGAGAACATTTAGTTATTGTTTTCCTTGTTTTTACACAGGGATAATTAATTGAACCAAAAAGTACTATAGTTCGGCCGCTTAGAAAACGACCTGCGCGCTAATGCTAAACCAATGCTGGAGAAGGTCGCTTTCTAAGCGGCCGAACTATAATAATGATGGTGGGTATGCCACTTACACATTTAATAGTATAATATGGATAATGAGGGTCCCCACTTCCATTAACGGTGGCCCTAGTTTTGAGGTTATTTGCAAAACATCGCTGAAAATACATGTTTTACCAGTGTTTTTGTTTGAACATGCTAGGGTAAAATATCAAATTTTCACTACTACTTTTGAGGGGAGGAAGATGGGAAGAAAAATTTCTTACCATAAAAATAAGATTTATATTAATAAAAATTCGATACGATATTGGCTATAGGTACACCCCCACGTATCGATACAAAATATCGATATTTTGCGGTCCTTGTATCGATATCTGTATCGATACGCACATCACTACAGTTCAGTAGCAGTGTTCATTGTTCAATCTCAATCTCGATGCCATTGTTGAACGAAGAGGTTCATCGGTTCATGAGTAGTGAGCGGTCGATCTAGAGATTTGGATTGTATTGTATTCTTGTCTCATTCGTTGGTCATATCCCATCCATTCATTGTCATGGCGGAAGCGGGCTGCAACGGTTTAAATTATTCAAGAGTTGATACTTTACTTTTGCAACAGGTGTTGAATATATTGCAGGAAGAATCTGTTTTAGAGACCGGCCCAAATGACGCTGTTGTCAATTTTCAACACCCTTTTAAGTTAAAGGTAAGTAATATACATTTTACATGTATTTTGACAAAAACTAAAATAATTACTTGTATTTTGACAAAAACTAAAATAATTACTGATGTTAATGTACCTAATCGGTTTTGTAACTATCATTTTCCGATGTTTGCAGATACATTTTCATTTTAAACTACTTAGCTGTTGTACCTGTGCTTTGCAACGGGAAGAGGACACAAAATAGAAAAATTAATTAATTAATTTAATCGTTACATCTGTTGCATATTAATAGAATAGTTACACATACACATACGCCAACGCTTTTAGAAACAAAATTCAACTTTTATGACCTTTCTAAACCTAAGTTTATTCGAATGAGTTGCGAACCAGCATAATCCTACCATGGGAACAGGGGTTTGGGTGGTTTTATGGGGTAAAAATGGGTTTTGGGTTTTCCTCAATATTGACCCTAAAAAAAATTTACAATTTCTTTTTAAACCATTTTGTAGAGCTAAAAAATAAATAATTTAGTATATTGAAGCGCTGTTGTATGCCTAACGGTCACGGAGAATATTAAAAAAAAGTGTAATATAAAATTCCCATGTTATTCTTATGGAGGAAATGAAAACTGTTGTAGTTCACTTGTTTATGGATATGATGTTGATAAAATTTGGCAAATTTATTTATTTCATCCTATACTATTGAGGTATGGTCAAAAACACTTTTTACCTTCCCCGTATAGCAGCAAACCTAAGCACTCGTTAAATCTAATGTTATTAAAATTGGAAAAGAATGTTTTATTGAAGGAAATATTTGAGTAAAAATGTAATCAGACAAGTTGAAATTCGCTTAGTCTCCAGGTTTGCTGCGGCGGGAGTATTTATATAATAGTATAGATACAGTAGACTCCCTCTTATCCGGACTCCTCGAGACCGAGGCCAGTCCGGATACCGGGTTTTCCGGTTAAACCGACGTCCCCAAAAACTCGTTAAAACGGACTATTTACTGTGATATTCGACTTAAATTTATGAGAGCATATTGTATTTAAACACGTGATTACTGGTCTCAAATCTTTCCCACAAAAACAGTTGTTTCAGTACTGCCCACTTCCAGCCGATCTAGTTCGGTTAAACCAGTGTGCTGATAAAAATTGTCCGGTTAAAGAGATGTAATTTCCGCCGAGTGTAGTCCGGTTAAACCGATGTCCGGTTAAAAGGTGTCCGGATAAGAGGGAGTCTACTGTACCGTATTGTAAAAATATTGAGTTTATTAAACAACAAAAACAATATTTTAACAATCTAATAGGCAATAGTAGTAGTAATTAGGCAATACTGTAGTAATCAAACAATTAGTTTCTTTATGGCCAATTTATAAGTAGGTACCTATATGGTTTATGGGGGTGTGACTTGTAGTTTTCTCAAAAATTCATGGGTACTTTTTGGGCTTTATATATGGATATATACATAAAACAAGGGTCTTTGAGTTCTAGAATCTAAATAAAGAATAAAGCTAGTTTGAACTAGCAGTTCTATCAATTTCTATTTCGTGTTCTATAAATTGTTTTACACTATAAAATTTAATTTATAATAAAATTAATAAATAAAATTTGCTATTTGCATGACATTTTTGGAAATGATCTCATTTCCACTGTTTGTTTTGTAGTCTATTCTTAAAAGGCTCACTCCAAAAAAGGCCAAACCCTTTGAAGTGAAGGGGTGCTGTTTTTTTTATTATGTTTCGGTGTTTTGCCATAAGTTATATCAACAAAATTATAGTGTACTTTATAAGGGTCCAAAATTAAACCTGTTTTTAAGGTCAGGTGGCGGTTTACTATTAGCAAATTTCCCATATTAGCTATTACCCCGGGACCGATTTACTTTTAGCGAATTTCCCTATAGGGAAGTAGCTATTACCATGGTAAGTCCTAGGCCTCTGGGACCGATTTACTTTTTCATTTTGATGTCCCCAGAGGCCAAAAACACCATTCGTTCAAATTTTTATATATGTATGTATATATCTATCTATATATATACAAATGTCCATCCGCACGATAACTTGAGTAATTTTTGTCCGATTTTGATAAAATTTGGTTTGAAGGTGTAAGGCGGGATAAACTTGAATGAGTTCGCGAACCAGCATGATCGGACCATGGGAATGGGGTTTAACGGGGGGTTCTATGGGGTAAAAATGGGGTTTTCTCATTTTTTACCCCTAAAACACAAAATTTATCAAATTTTCTCCAGACCTTTTTAAAGAGCTTAAAAAATCAAATAATTTAGTATATGTAAGTGTTTTTGTACGTGATTGGTTACGGAGAAAATTCAAAAAATTTGTTAATTTAAAATCCCCATGTTATTCTTATGGAGAATATTATAATATGTTGTAATTGGCTTGTTTATGGATATATTTTGATCAAACTTGGCGGATTTATTTATTTCATACTAAGCTATTGATATTTTAATAAAAAACACACTTTATTAGTTTCCCTGTAGCAGCTAACCTAGGTACTCGTTACATAAATGTTAATTTAATAGATTAATTGAAAATCAATCCAGGCAAATGGAGATTCGCTTGGTCGGCAGGTTTGCTGCAGTGGGGGTATTTTGTTTTAAAATCCCCTGAGGCCAAAAACATCCTCTGTTCAAATTCATATATATATATATATATACATATACTAGCAGAGTACCCGTCCTTCGTACGGGGTTGGAATATAAGTATAAAATGCTTATTGCAGTTATACTCAAGCTTTGCTTTTGCAATAAGGGAGGACACAGTTTGATAAAATTTGCTTTTTTAAATTTACAGTATTCTATAGTATTACACATCTACCATAGCCATAAAGTTCTACCACTTCACCTAAACAATAGAGAAAAATAAATTATCAACAATTCGCAAAATATCACAAATTATTCATGAAATGAAAAACATAGCCTAAACATAACTGTAAACAATCCTACTTTGACAGTTTTAATTGCGAATCACAGTTTTTTGTTGCTGCTTAGTTCAAATTAGCTGTTTTCATAAATGCAAAAAAAAGTGCTGCACCCTGTTGGTAAATCTTATAACTTTTTAATGCTTTTCCATATCATAGAACCAACTTTTTTAGTTGAAACAGCTGACTACATTCTTTAATTCCCTATAAATATGAATAGGTACTCATAAGGTTAACATGGGGAATTACAGAGCCACTGGGGCGGAGCCCGAAAGGATTTTTGAGATAAGAATATGCCTATATGTTAATCGGGAATGTAAGCTATCATCATTCCAAATTTCAGCCCAATCCGTCCAGTGGTTTATGCGTGATTGAACTTCAAACACACAAACACACAAACTTTCACATTTATAATATTAGTAAGATAAGATATATATATTATATATCTCCTTTATTCGAACGAGTTCGCAAACCAGCATGATCGGGCTATGGGAACGGGGGTTTATGGGGGGGGGGGGGGGGTTTATGGGGTAAAAATTGTTTTTTCCCATTTTTGACTCTAAAAACGAAAAATCTTACAATTTCATTCCAGACTATTTTGTAGAGCTTGAAAAAAGAAATAATTTTGTGTAGGCCTACTGAAGCGTTGTTATATGCCTGACAGTTAAGGAAATAATTTAAAAAACTTAAAATTTAATATTCCCATGTTATTCTTATGGAGAATAAATAAACTGTTGTAGTTTCCTTGTTTAAGGATAAATTTTAATCAAACCTGGACTTGACTTACTTGACTTGACTTGACTTATCTCCTTTCACTCCTGCACGGAGCATAGGGCCTCCACGAAACAACGCCATCGGACTCGGTTGGCAGCCAAGGCTCTCACTTCCCTCCAGTTTTTCCCTGCATCTCTTATTTCTTCTTCTATAGTTCTTCTCCAGGTCATTCGAGGCCTTCCTCTTCGTCTATGCCCCTGGGGATTCCAGCTCAAGGCCTGCCTCTCTACAGCATCTGGATCTTTACGAAGAGTGTGTCCAATCCATCGCCACTTGCGTTTTTTAATCTGTATCTCTACAGGTTCTTCATCTGTAGCTCTCCACAGCTCTCTGTTTGAAATAACCTCCGGCCAGTAGATCTTCAATATTTTTCTCAAACATCTGTTGATGAAAACTTGGAGCTTTTGTGTCAAAGATGAAGATACCTTCCAAGTCTCACACCCATATAGCAACACAGACTTGACGTTGCTACTAAATATCTTCAACTTGGTTCTGGTTGAAATGTCACGAGCCTTCCACACTGGATACAGCTGTACAAAAGCAACATTAGCTTTAGTAATTCTTGACATTACATCTTCATCAGCTCCTCCGGCTCTTGTTAAGACACTTCCCAGATATGTAAATCTGTCCACCTCTTCGATTTCTTCATCTGACATTCTGAAACTGTTGTTATTCGCTACATTTATCCTCATTGATTTTGTTTTCTTTCAAACCTGGACCCGGGACCAATTTATTTTTTGTTTTGAGGTCCCTAGAGCCCAAAAACACCATCTGTTCGAATTCATAATACAGGGTGTCCCGGAACTCTCTACCAATATTTTAGGGCATTGCTCCTGGGTAAGAAACATACCTAAATATCATATTTAAATTGTCCGGAAGTCCTTAGTTACTCACACAGCCGCCATTTTGTTATTTTTTGTTATTAATTTTTTTCTAAAGAATGGTTAAACATACGAAATGGAAACTTTGCACAAACATTAATGACAACTAGACAAAGCTATAAAAAAATTATGACGATTTTTCAAATTCATAAAACAAAATAGCGGCCATTTAAAATTTTTATAAAATCAACGGTTTTTGAGCTATTTAAGAAACAACATTTTAAATGGTCGCCATTTTGTTTTATGAATTTGAAAAATCATAATTTTTTTGTAGCTTTGTCTAGTTGTTGTCATTAATGTTCGTGCAAAGTTTCCATTTCGTATGTTTAACCATTCCTTAGAAAAAAATGTATAACTGGAAAAAACAAAATGGCGGCTGTGTGAGTAACTAATCACTTCCGGACAATTTAAATATGATATTTAGGTATGTTTCTTACCCAGGAGCAATGCCCTAA